ACCATTCTTCCATATTCCATAATCCACAGTATGTAAATGTTACTATATCAAAGGCTGAAGGTGGTATCCCTGCCCCGTTTATATCATGGTGTTTTCATATCTTAGAATCAAATGCTGTCTAAAACCACACAGGCAGAGCTGAATGTATGTTTATTGCAGTTAATCAGTATCATCATGTCCGGTCCACCCAGAGAGCCTTGTCACTCCAAAGCAATGACACACTGATCTGTAAAACAAAACAAGCATGAAACTTGTAATACCAGAGAAATCATTTAGGAAAGGAGAGGAAACTCCATCAACGTCCTCTGATTTGGACCATGTGTCTCCATTCCATACCTCAGATACAAAGAAGCAAGATAAAAGATGAGGAGAGGTGTAGCCTGCTGTGAGAACCGGTTTCCCAACCTTAGTGACAATATTTTTACTTAGACATATTTTTATTCAGAAAAAATATTTGTTTTTATAAAGTGCACTGTATTCTCATTCTCATTTTGCATCTTTTATATCACACATTTAAAAAACTCTTTCTATGATTTGTATTTCACCCTAATTGCACTCTTCCTTTGTGTGGTTGACAATAATATTTGTTCTGATTTTGTCTAACTTCACACTGATTTTCTGGGTTTAAATGAGTATACATAATATAATTTATAAAGTGCTTTATTTCCTTTCGCTTTACATCCACATAACCTTATGACTGTTCACTTTGCTGCATCTTTGCTCTCACAGAAGGGCTCGTTGCACTCTGCTTTGGTAGAGCATCTATTATTTACAGGACAAAGCCTGGGGAGTGTCCATGGGTATTATTCTTCAATATTGTGCATGGCCATTCATCTTATTTAAACACAATATATTATGGTTTCTTTCTGTGCAGCATTTGCAGTGAGTCAACGCTTGTCTTTAGTTTCTGTCTTATCGCCTTAAACTAGTGTTTTTGCTGAACAATGTTTCTTCTCTTGTCTTCTCATTTTGAGGTCTGCTGCATATCTAATTTTATCAAAACCTTTTTTAAAGGGTTGTGGTTTTCTACTTGTAATACATCTGCTATACAAGTAGTTCCAATGATGTGACCTTAAACCACAACCCTGGTCTTTTTAGGTCTAACTTTCCCTCTATTTCAGTCCATCTTGGTCCACAGCTGTCCACTCTTGGATATTTACAGTGTTTGTTGAAGTGGATTCTTATCTGTTGTTCACCTATCTCCGCTCTTGTCTTCATTTATTCTCCCGTCTCTTTCCTGTTTGTGAATCCCACCTTTTGGTACTTTCTGTTGTCTTACTCTTCCCTCATCATACATCCTTCTCGTGGCCTGGCGGCTCGTGCAGTAGAGATTAAAGTGATCAAGGACCTTCCGTGGCCTCCTCCTGTGGGGCAGCTCAACAGCAGCCCTCCTCCCACAGTAGAGGAGGAGCTGGACTCTCCATCTCAGCCTTCGCAGGGCTCCACGGGACAGGCAGCGTGTGACCAGCACCACCAGGGTGGGTGTTGGTGTTCACATTCACTTTTACCCTGCCCTCATCAAGCTTGTCTGTCCCATCACTGTTTGTCGCCTTATCCACCAAGCTGTACGCTATCTGGACATATTTTATTTTTATGTAAACCTCACGTTCCCTATCCTGAAATACTACACATACATAACCCTGTCCTCATCTCAAACACTTAAATCCCTCAAACATAGATAATCCTGATCTTATGTAGGCGGTACTGCATATAGTAGGTTTGGACCCATTAGTATGGATTGTTGCTAAACGATATCCTCTGTGATACTGTTATCTGAATGTAAAATGATCACTTATATTCAGCTCGAATTCCTTTTGGCTGTCCCAGATGACCTTCTCGTCTGCCTGTTTTACAAGCTCCTTTTGACAATGGAAAAACAAACTCATTTGAGCTCATGCCACTCCTTGTCACTTCTCATGTTCAGCAGTGTTTACTCAATACCTTGCCAAAGACACTGATTTTCTACTGTGCCATCTATCAGTTCAAAAAGCATTCTTTATTTTGAATTTTTGTTGTTCTTTTTTGCAAATCCTTCTCCAAGCTTTGAGTATGTAAGAGTAGTAATTACCAAGGGAAGCAGGACACACAGCAGAACTAATGCCAGGAATGGGACTTCCCCTGTGGAGTGGGCGGACAAAGTTGAGCCATGTAAGAGGACACCAGTGTGTGCCAGAGTTGATTTATGTCCATAAATCCATGGGAAGGGTTTCTGTTCTGCGACGATGGCTGTGGGTTAAGGATTGGCGTCCAGCTGTAAAATGATCCCACAGAGTCTGAGCCAGACCGGGCCCAGTCCACGTCTCAGGTCAGCATTCATGACCTCTGAGACCTGTGTGTCTGCACTTACAATGCTCTCAGGTGACCTCCGTGCCAGACAGACTTAAGTCACAAACGCCAGGGAGATAACCGATAAGTATGTCCTCACATCAGCCTAACAAATCCACATCTGCAAAGTTCAGTTCAACAGATGGTCACTCTTTTGGACATTGGATGAAGATGAGTTAGATTAAATTTACTTTCCAAAGTTGATCTTTGGTTGGGATTTTCAATGTGTTGCTTGTATAAAAGCACATTTTAGTTGAATGCAGTTTTTAGTATTTCTACATTTTGTTTGCATGATGACACTCTCATTCTCCCCGACACAATCTGCTTCTTGTCACATAAGGCTACTTCCCCAGCCTGCGTTTGCCCCTTTATTTTTTCATGGAAGCCATTTTCATGTCTGTGGGGGCTGGGCCATTAGCCATCAGTCTCCATCTGACTGACAGCTCAATCTGATACACACATTCCATTTGCTGTGCTTTACAAGCAGTGCCTCTGATAAGACACTCCGCTGACCTGCACATTTCCACATTTGTGCTTACATTGTGTGGAGGTGTTTGGATGGCTCCTCATTACTGGGTATCTCACAATGCATTTGAAGTTGTGCAGCAATCTTGTCTCAATCTTATGTATGCATTTTTACATTATTTTTTGCCAAGTATCATTAATTGGGTTTCTGTGATCTATTTGAAGCTTTTGCCATGTAATATGTGTTTGCATTCTTGCTTTTAAAGTCAGAGTGAATTCCAGTGCGAAAAGATACTCATGCATTCCTCGATGGTAGCTGGAGTTTAATTAAGGTCAAATAGAGCAGTAGTTATGTTGAATCACCGGAAAAAAGAAGAGTTGAGATCACGTTCAGACCCATTTGTCAGGATGATGAAGTGAAAAGGAAACATACCTAACACTATACCAAGATGCAGTGATCCAATCATGAAGTGGTCCAAGACAGTTTCCTCTTTTACACACATCACACAATCCTTTCTGGTCCTTGACGTGTAAACCAAACCAAACCAAGGTTACATAAAGTACATGATGAGGCGTGTAACCCTGATGTGACTATGTCTGTAAAAGGCACTATATATAAAGATTACTTACTTAGTTGCCCAAGAGAAAAAAGGATTTTGAAAACGTGTTTTTATATCAAAGATTGAAAGCTTGTTTGGGCTGATTGGCTTTGTGGTGAGTAATGATGATTCAAAGTATATTTTATGAAACTTTAAAAACAGTTATATATTTTAATTGTGCTCTTGGGGCTGAAAACAACCACACTGTGGATAGTTACCACATAACTTGTCAGCCTCTGTCATATCTTCAAACTATTACTATTTAGATGTTTCGAAACTTCTGTGGGGCTTTTCAATTTACAGTAAGTTTCATTTCTGGACTGCCATGTGGGCGGATATGAAACTGCATAGTTCCAAATCTGGCGATTAAAAGGAGAATTGCCTATTGTTAATGTGAGATAAAATTATTGTCACAAAATATTCATTGATGTTCCGAAGTTCACCGCTACTTTAGCTTTTACCGTATACTTGTATGTACACGTTTGTGTGGTTTTAATATTGGGCTTCAATCACATTCCCTGTTCACTAAAGTATTGGAACTTTCAGGTCTAACATTTCAAAACTTCAAATGACATACTCCTTATATTTTATTTAGTTGTTTAAATATAGATCTATTGGAAAAAATTTCAGGAAATTGTATTTCTGGTTCAACTGTAAGACCAATGGAAGTAGAGGGAACCCTCTACTGGTTAGAAATAAAATGGCTTCTTTGAGAGAATAGTGGCTGATGAGTGAGGTTCATTTTAGGAGCACAGCTAATTTTAGGAGTGCCAATGTTTAATTGTGTAAACTTAACACTGTGGTCATTGCACAATAATCATGATGTGTTCAGACCCATGTAGAGCCGTATAGAGCTGGTGAAATTGACTTTCATCCATGCTCAGACTTAAGAGGCTGTAAGTGAACATAGTTAGACTGTCCTCAGACTGGTCGGCAGAGCTGACAGTCATAAGTGCATCTTCAATGACACGTGTGAAGATCAGTGTCTGTACTGTCTAATTAACCACTTACCACAGCACTGTCCATTGGTGACTGATTACCATCTCCTCTTTAGAGTTCAGCACATACTTCATGAACTCTTTTCTTCTTTGAGAGCATTGACTTTGATTTGTGAAGCTTAGCTCTTTAATCAGCCGAACATGTCCCACTAAGCCTCATCTCATGTGTGGCAGTGAAAGAAGACACTGTAGCTCTGTTTGTCCTCTGTTCACTGTAATAGCAGGGAACTCTGATTTTACATAAATTAGACCGAGTGGCAATGAGGCAACACAAACTATTGTTTAATACTATCATTATGTACAAACATTTTGATAGAATCTTAGTTAATATGGTTCAATCCCTGCACTCCAAACATGTTATGGACTCTGACAATTAGAAGAGTCTTTATAACGTGGAGATAAATTAAGGATACAAAGAGGAAATGGCTTCTTCTTATATAAATAATAATATACAAGATACTTGCTTCTTTTTATATTGCCCTTTGTTGCATTTTTTTCTCCTGTATGATTTTCTGTCTTGATTTACTGTGTGTTTTATTGTGTAAGTTGCTGTTGATATACATTGATAAACTCTCAACTAAGTTTTAATAACGCTCATCTTATTGTATTACAGTCCAATTTGACGGGGTGGAAAAGTCCCGAATGTCGCCTACTAAAGACGGGAAAACTCGGCCACTCCAGCGACACTCCAGCGGGTGTCTAGTTAACACCAAGATGACCTCATTGGACCACAGCGGATGCTCCATAGGGGAATGCATTGACCCCGCCGTCTCCCTTGAAAACCAGTTGTGAGTTGTTAACCTCGTGATTTATGTACTAATGTGAAATGGTGAGGAATATAGGAAGCTCTTTACATTTGTTGTACGTTTCAATATTTGGATTATTTAGGTGGGCTGTAATGATTTGTTTGGGGATATTTTCACAGTTTAAATTAAATGACAAGCATATTTTACATTGTGTGTAAAAGTAAACAGAAAAAACTGTCATCAAACTTATCATTAAACTGTTAAGATTTGCTGTTTTTATTGTATCTCTAAGTTTCAGTGGAAATTATGTAACATCAGTAATAGCAGTATTCTCGTTTTGCTAATTGAGGCCACCAAAATTGTGATTTCAATTTGATTATGATTAATCGTGCAGCCCTATTATTTAGCTTTTAATTTCAAGAAATGGGCAAAATAACAATGTATATCTTTTTCCTTGCAGTTGGTACCATGGAGCCATCAGTAGAACAGATGCAGAGTCTTTGCTCCGGCTGTGTAAAGAGGCCAGCTACCTGGTGAGAAACAGCGAGACCAGCAAGAATGATTACTCCCTCTCCCTTAAGTAAGGACTGTTCTTTCCTAATATAAGTGGACTGTATATACTGTATATGTGCGGTGACACCTGGAGATGGCATATGTGGTCCAAGGTTAAGCTGTGTAAAAATGCTGCTGCTTTAGTGCTGAGTGTGCTTCCCAGCTCCTGTCTGACCACAGGCCCCTGGCTCCCTGACCCCTTTGACAGCACTGGGGCATGATATGTCTCACAACTTTGTTATCTGTGCCCTTCATGTTCAAACCTCACATGACTGACGGGATATCAGTTTCACCTTTCTCCTTAAAGCAACATCTTGCTTTATATCTGTTATTTTTTACTCTCCGATGAGATGTTTTTGTTGAGAACAAGAATACCTTACTAACATTGCGATGGTGGAGCTTTGATGTATAAGGTTTGGTAAAAGGTAGAGGCCTGAGGCACTCTGTGAATAGAAATGGAGACAGGGCAATCTCGGCAAAGTCAGAGGTTTTTGTTGCCTGAAATGTTCCATTATGGCATAACACGGACCTTTTGTATTTATTTCTTTTTTTAACCTGGTGATTCATTCCAACAGCCAAATGTACAAAATATTGTACTTGTAATTGAATGAATGGTATATTATGCATAGATTATCTATTTCATACTGAGGAATAGTTTTTGTATTGCCCTTTTTAATCTCTGATCACTATGTTTTACCGTGGAATTGTCAGTTAGTTCAATGACTACGTTTGCATGGTAATGTTTGTTTTTGGAGATAACTATAGCTCCTGGGATGGTGGGAACCTGATGAAGCATACAGAGAAATCCCCACCAGAGCATAACATGGTGATTTTTTTTTCCTTTGGGACAAGGCATGGAGAACAAACTGTTGATTTATGGAAATAACAGGTGCCACGCTGCGGGGTAGAGCCATCAGTGAGTTCAGTCCTCTGTCAAAAGCCCTTCTCCACTGCTGGCTTTGAAAATGCATTAAAACTGAAGGTGAGGATCTTGCATGTCCGGGGCTTCTGAAAAATGTATTGGGGGGCAAGGTGGCGCGTGTGTCTACTGCATTATTGATAAAGACAGATGCAGCTGAGGCCCATATCCCCCAAAGGCCACAAAGCGTTTTCTGTCAGTTTTGCCCTTCTAACCTGTTTCTTTCAGACCACCTGCCTTTCTGCACCTCTCTGCTTTGAACAAGGCTATTTTTTACCATTTGAACTTCAAAAAGCCTTTAAAATACCCCATAGAGCTGTCTGCTGTCATGATGAGATAACCTGCTTCTAAATGAGTGATGAATTCTTGCTTACAGACAGATATTAGCCAGAAATAATCAGTAGAAGTTATATTGTTTGCATAAGTGTCAATTTTGTCTATTTGTTGCATATACGGTTGTGTCCGATGTTCATGAATAACCCAAACAATCATTGTACGTGTGTTTCTCTTTTAACATCTATGAAGTCTGGAATCTTTTGTGGCAGTTGTGGATAAGTTTCTCATTATTGGGATCCTCTGATAGTAAAGCTGCACATTCTTCTTGTCAAAAAGCCTCTCGTTCCTTTACATTTCTGGGCCACCTTGCACCATTTGCACATTTGACCTCTCCACAGATCTTGTCATAATTTCAAATTTGAAAACTCATTTATGTTTTTGTGTAATAATGTACTTTTATTCCGCCTGGGGGTGCACATTTTAAAGCCCAATATTTTCACACTGACAAAATAAATCCCTCATCTTCAAAGTCATTTTATTTCCTGAAAGCTCTACCAGATTAGTTTTAAGCTTCCTTACTGTATAAAGCTTTCCCCCTGTACTCACATTTATTTTGTACCTGCTCAAAAACATCCTTTTGTCATTATGGTGATGAGGAATATAATTATCTTTTTAAAGGCTGCACTTTTGCTTTCTCTGCTACCAAAGATATCATTGAGAGTGTACGTACAGTAATTCCTGAGCCAGTCAGATATGCCGAAGCCACAGATAAGCTTTGATAACCGTCAGCCTGTTCCCGTGCTGTGGAAATGGTTCAAGTCAAAAGCACAAAACCCCAATAAACCTGAAAGATGACTCCAGATTAGCGATACCCACAATACCCTATTTAAACCAGAGGGCTACAAATAAGCTGTCTTCATGACGTTAGCTAAAGTGCTCCATTGCTTTGTTGTGCCGTCTCTGTAATGTGATAAGGAGCTGAATGCTTGCTGGAAAACCTGTTGGGAATCTAAAAAGGACAGTATTGATGTGTTTTTCTTTTTAAAGTGTGGCTCTGCGTAACCTAATGCCTATCTCCCTGCAGAGGATGAGCATTTATCAAAAGCCTTGTTGAATCCTGCGTTTCCAAGAAGCACTCAAATAGCACCACCGCTGCTCTACGCTCAAAACAATCAATCTCAATCCTAACCATGTACGTGGATACCAAATATAGGAATTTAAGTATGTATGTAAGTACTAGACCTATTGTGACAAATGATAAATATTGACCACTATTTGAATATTTAAAGCTGCACTAACTGACTTTGGGATTTTGAAGCCGCAGACTCGCTGGCCTCGCTCTTTCTGCTCCCCTCCCCGCACCCACGAAGCTATCGCCCCCCACACACACCCACTGTTGGGACGGAGCTAGCGTCTCCTAATATGGATAATACATGTATATGGATTTACACGTGGATGGCGTGACCATAGAACGATAGAACCGGGAAGCGCGGAGAAACGGGACTTTCTTTTGGATGGCTGTCTCGCTGTGTAAGCAGTAACCGTGACGAAGACGAGAAAGTTTTAGGTTAGCTCCTCGGCTTGTTGTGCTAACTCAGCTGTCTGTGCTAACGGACCTGTAGATTTCTCACGAAAGTGGGGGCTAGTGGTTCGCTGTGATTGGTCACAATCTGCGACCCGAAACACATTCTCTTCCTTGTTTCATCAAAACTCGATCTAAAATATAATGTCACGCCAGTACAAATCTGCGCTACTTTTTCTTCAAAAGGACATATATCCCAATGCACTACATGGACATGGATAGCATTTTTGTGATGAATACAAAAATAAAGTCAGTTAGTGCAGCTTTAAAGTAAGACACATTTCTAGTTTAAACTTCATATTTTTTGCTGCCTTAGCTGTTTTTATTTGAAGGAAAAATCCAGGGTTCTTACACACTCACTTATGAAATGGGTAAATAAATGTAAAGTCTTGTAGAGATGTAATTTTAAGAAGAAGAACTTTTAAGAAGTGTTTTTTTTTTAAGCACAATTTTTTACTTTTTTAATGTAAAATAGTGCATTTTATTTATTGGTAACAAATGTGTGACACTGTGGACAACATTTATACTTATCAGCTAAACCTAAAAGTCCACTTAATTCTTACCAATGGAAAATATATAATCTTAATATTAATCACATACACCAAAAAAAGTGTAATCAGAAATAAAAAAAATACATATACAGTGCCTTGCGAAAGTATTCGGCCCCCTTGAACCTTTTTTAAAAAGTTAAGAGGTTAAGACAAATGGGCTTAAGAGGTTAAATTATCCAATAAATTTTGTTCCACTTCACGATTGTGTCCTACTTGTTGTTGATTCATGACAAAAAATTAAAATTTTATATCTTTATGTTTGAAGCCTAAAATGTGGCGAAATGTTGAAAGGTTCAAGGAATACTTTCGCAAGGCACTGTATATTGTAAGGGGTTCCATCAGTCTTTTTGAGCTCTTTATTAAGTTCAATTTGACAGAATGCAAAACTATTACTTTGAAGAGATTGATTTACTTCAAATGTTTGTGTCCTTTTCAAAGCTAAACTATAACTTCCACTCAGAGGAAACCTATGACTTCCGACATATTCACGCTCAAAATTAACACTCAAAATTAACACTATCTTCAAAAGGATTGTTTATATTTTTCTCTGCGATGCATTCTGGGTAGCGTCACTGTTACGCCCAATACATGTTGTTTTCAATCAACACATTATTGTTCTTTTCTCATTAACGGACCACCACGCTTAGTATTTTCACATAAAGCAATAACATCAGTATTGTGTAGGGTGCTCTGATAATTATTTTGTATTATACAGTATTAATAGTACTGTATAACAGGTAGGAAGTAACTTAAACATTATTGTATACATGTTTTATCCTGTATGATCTTATACTGCTTCTACAGAAACTAGTTCTTAGTGCTGTCTCTCTGTATAAACCTTGATTAAAATGAGGCAGTACAACAAGAAAAGGAAGTACAAGGAAAATAACCTAAATTGCTTCTTTGATTTTAAACTGTATTGTAGGAGCAGTTTGCTTCATTGCTACAGCGGTACAGTCTGACTTACTTTATCTCCTGTGTTTATATGTTAATGAATATCGGTCTGCTGTATGGACACTTTCTATTTTAAAGGCGATTACTGGCAAACTGTAAAAGGTATTGATCACACAGAGGAGCTTTTAATTTGCTCTACATTTACAGCTGTAGCTTAAGGGATCCATCCTGGGGGTTCATTGGCCCCATCACATGTCCAGTCCACAACCTTAAGCAACTTCCCTTTATCATTCCCAAGGTAGCATGTTAGCTTAATCCAGCACACACAAGGCTATATTACCGTAGTGGTGTTAAATGCGCCGTTTTCTCACTTTACTTGAATAACCTGAAACTAGGACTGAAAGAAACTTGTTATCAAGCTTGTCACTTTTAATTCTATTGTACATAATATATCTTGAAAGAAATAGATTATGTTTTAAACTTCTTGAGGATGCAGTCAGTGATTTTTTTTATTTTTTTTAATATTGTTGAAAAACGTCCCTAAACCCTAAAAGTAGTAAAGTTATCATGTGTTTTCAATTGCATATAGTCTCCAAAAATTAATGAAAAATATTTTGGAGCGGACCTATAAAGATATTGGTTCATCTCCAACGAACCAATGGGATGCGTTCACCCCTTCACCCTCTTCCTGTTTCCTGCGAGTGTGCGCACCTGAGTTATCGGATTTTCTAAAACCTAAAATGGCTGAACAGAAAATGCCAATTTCACGTTTGCCACCCACTTTCCCTGTTGTGACAAAGAAAAGAAAATGCTGGATGTTTGGTTTGGTGGAAAGGCGAGGGGAGGGGGAGTGGTTTCGAGTTGGTGCTACGGCTAAGCTAACAAAATCGCTTACTGCACCTTTAATTGTATTGTACATTTTTACCTTTTTAAAATGTTTGCACACTTCCTGTCTTTTTGCACACCCTGAGCGATTCTATCTATGTACATGTCTCCATTGTTTTCTCCGTTGTTTAAAAACTAACCACGTGTTTCTGTTCCCCAGGAGCAGCCAAGGCTTTATGCACATGAAGCTCTCTCGGACCAAGGAGAACAAGTACATCCTGGGTCAGAACAGCTGCCCCTTCGACAGTGTGCCTGAAATCATCCACTTCTACTCCAGCCGCAAGCTTCCCATTAAGGGGGCCGAGCACATGTCTCTGCTGTACCCTGTGGCTATCAGGACACTATAATGGTTCGGGGGCACCTGCTGGCATATATATCCTCACTGGTTTGGAAAAGTGGGGTTGGCCAGAGTTCAACTGGAGACCATTGGGAAAAATAAACTGCTGATGATACAGACTCACCTCATTGGTCACCGGACAGTTTGTGGAGCTGCAAGGCCGTACGCGTACCGTCTAAATGAGGAAACATGTTGTAGCTAAAATCGTTATGAATTTATTTTATTTTATTTATATATAAAAAAGGACCCACTAAAATAAAAGGCATCTAACTGACGAACATCATTTCAGTCATTCAAGAGCTACATAGGTACAAAAGATGGATTTTTCACTGGAATGAATCTTGAAACCTCGTACCTTCCTTTCACCGTGGCCATTCAGGATAACCCCGGATGTTTTCCCGTGTTTCATTCGTGCTCTGATTGAGGAGTAAGTAGACCGGAAGTTTGAGCCAACCTGGACTAACTATAAAACCCTTGTATGAATGGTATCCCCAGCTGCACATGAAGCAACAGGCCAGAGCGCGGTGCACACAGATCTCTCCATCTTGTCATAATACATGTTGTGTGCGATCCATCTCTTAGCGCTGGCATCGTGCTTTGACAGCGTGAGTACCACAGTTGCAGAGACAGCCCAGGAGAGTGATGGATGGTCCGACTGACATACCCCAATACCACTGGCTGCGGCTCACCTAATGAACCAAATTACCCTCTCTCTATCTATCCCTGCTTTCCACTGGCTATGCATTGGAGAATGAAATATGCCCGCATTGTCTACCTCAGAAAGAAAAATCTATTTCATTCGTCCATTTGTGGATCAATAGGTACAATGGGATTGTGGACATCGATTTGCCCTCCTTTTGACATTCCCAATTCCTTTACAATTACATCAGTGGTTTTTAAGAAATGCATTTTGGGAACAGTCGATCATATAGATTCCAGCAAATGATTCCAGATCCGAAATTGTATGTATACTCACTACTATATACAGTGATGTGATGTCAGTAACAAATGTTTTGGTTAATGCCTTATAATGCATGGGTCAAGTCAAACAGCTAGATCAGGTCCAACTCTGCTTTTAAAGATTGTGCTGTGACTGGTATTTATTCTGGGGTAACTTTTGGATTTGTTCCTCTCTGTCAGAGCTGGTTTCTCCCCATGGCCGGCTCTCCAGTCCTGTGCCCATGTGATTGTGGTTTTTGGACTTAACTTGGCATTTTTTATGTGGTGCTTTGTTTATATTTTTGCTTCAGCCTACTGCACGTTGCCTCAGTGGCCTGTCTCCTGACCATTTGGGATTGTCAAGCCTCAAAGACTCCACAGATGACATTTCTATCTATTTACCCAGTTGCCGTTGATGTGTGAATGATTGCTGGTACATAACTGCAGGCATTGCTTAAGCCCTATGTTTTTTTTCTGTTGGATTCATTTATCTGACTCTAAAGACACTTGGCTAAAGTAGGCAAAAAGGTCATATCTAGATCCAAGGACATTTTGACTGCCTTGTGTTTGTATGAGAGAACTCTAAGAATTCTAAAAATAAACAATGGACACAAAATGGATTTAAAAACATAAAGCTGAGTAGTAATTGGTCATAACCCAAAGACATGTAAATGTGATTTTTCATAATGCTTTCAGAAAGAGACCTCCTGGAGAAAATGTATTAGCTTGCTTGTAGTGAGTTATGTTGAAGCTATTGATGGACAAAGTTAGAGAAGTATTCTAAGACATTACGGACCTATGTTAATGTGCAGTTTGAATGTTTCCGGGTAAAGCAGTTTGCTTTCTGCTGCAGATGAGAATTATTTCCAGAAGACTTTGTAAATGGTAGCTGTTCTGCCTGTAAAGAGGCCTTAGAGCTTTGGGGGTTGAAAAGGGAATCCAGGAGCGGTATAGTTAGAATATGAGTGAGGCAGAGGGGTGGGTGCTCTGATTGAAGAAGGGATGGTCTGTAATCAGTGGACATGCTTCTGAAAATGTCTATTATTAGAATCTAAACGCACCCTTCTGCCCTCCTCAGAAGTGTCTTAAAAACCATGTACTATGTGCGACTGCTTATCCACATTGTGCTGGCAGAACAGTGTTTGGATGTGTGTCGTTGAATGAGTGTGATTTGATGTTTGCAGTCGTCAACTTGCCCAATGTATGACTTCACTTCAATCCGGTTAAGTGGCATGGATAGTTTTATTTGTGTCCATTTTGTGCCACCAATGTATGCACTATGAAAACATATCTTTATAGTCCCTCATGGCCAAATGTATATACTGAATGTACTGAATGGGGACTATGAGGCAAAGAGAATAAAAATTGGGTTTATAAAGTTAACTGTCAACTAACGATCTGTGTGGTTGTCTTTTTTTCTGGGACCGAACACACATTCTCCATCAAACACACGCAGCTGCACAGAAAACATCCGCTGTGCCCGTTACCATGGAGAGGCTCCTTCAATAAATTGTGTAGAGCGCCCCATTGTTTGAGTCAAGGACAGAACGGCAGGGCCATTACACCAGCACTTGTTGTTCTTCATTGATCCACTTTGGGAGACGGGGCTGTAATGCATTTCTTCTGTGTCTTTATCTCATATCTGCATGTGTCATTCAACATTTCGCGTTACAGATTAGACGCAAAAGAACAGTTTCTATACGATATGAAGTGTAGTGAATGTAGACGTAATGAGGGGAATAATGTTGTAGTCATGGGACAAAACACTTATTGAGCTTCACTTACTGTATTTGTACAAAAGGGATGTCTTCTGGTTTAGCTGAAATATCGATACAAATGTAATCAAGTCAGATTTAACTACTTAGATGACTGATTCTTTCAGAGCTTCATCACAGGTTATTCCGCTATAGGGATGGAAAGGGATAATTCCAACAGCTTAAAAGCAATTGAACCATCAGAGACTAAAGTGGCCTTAAGTCACTCAGGGCAAAAGCAACCTCAGGCTATAACATATTATGGTATTAAGTTGTGTGAAGGGACATATCCATCCTAGAGTAGTTGTATTTCATTGGCAATACTGTTAGAATTCAGAACAATGTTAATGTTAACTTTCCAAAAAACCCCAAAAAATATTGAATTTAAATCCCTGCATTTGAATAATGATCCTGCGACATGCAAACTATTGACCTGATCATCTTTAATTTTTCTTTGCACAATGTTGGGAGATGTTTTGATTTTGTAGGGGGTTTGGGGTATGTGTGAGTGGAAAAAGAAAATGGAAAAATAGCATGTTCTAAACATTATTTCAGCCCCCTCATGAATCATGATTTAAGTGCTATTACGCATAGAGCCACCAGTGGGTGTAATTCAGCTCCCAGACACAAAAGATAAGTCCAAGCTTCAATTCACATTTAGATTTGCACAACCCTGGGGAATACAACATTGAGGGTACATACAACTATTGAGGGTTTGATTGTTTCCCAACACAGTGGTTACATACAATGTGTAAAGCTTGGTCACAATAGAGACCTCTTTTGTCTTTCAATCATTTAATTTACAAAGTATTCTAGCTACCCATGGCATGTGCCTTTGCTTTATTATGAAAATACCCTTGGAGGCATTTGATAGAGGAAATTGCCTGCAGGTGTCCACACACATAAAATGGTTATGGGAAAAGGGAGACTAAAGCACTGTTTGGGTGCTGTGCTCATGAAAGGCCAATTTGCTGATTGAGCTGTCACATCCACAGATGCAGTCATAAAACTAAGCAGGGCAATTACTGTAGATGGAGAACAGTGGGAGCAGAAGGGAGGGGGGGATGCCAAATACTCACCCCTAAAATGTCCTGATAGGAGACAACAGGACAAGGCAAACGTGGCAGTTTCCTAAAGTGCCTGGTCTCAACAAATATCGTTAATTGTAACAATTTAAGGCATGTTGTTGATGCTAATTTTCAGCACTTATTTTGTGAGCAAAAAACCCAAAAAACAAAACAGATTTGATAAATGAAACAATACGTTACCACACTAGTAATAATGCCAGGATAACAAATTGTATGGCAAGAGTGCCATCTAGTGGTGTTTTCCAGAGTTACATCGAGGTTAATACTGAGTATATTCACAAAACCAGCCTTAATGAGAAACACATTTATTTGTCACATGTATCAAACAAATCTAATTAATCTTATTCATGTTTTGTGTATTGTTTACATTGTTACAGTTTCTGGTATAATGTGCGCACTCACAGTCCTGGGCCTCCAGCAAAAATAAGCTCGAGGGCAGCCTGAATATCTCCATCTGTGGCCTGCAGCGCCCTCAGCATTAGCTCTTCATCCTGGATCCCCATGTCTCTGAGCTGCTGCATCTGGGACTGCCATCTGCCCTGTCACCACACAATACACTAATAAATAACCATGTCTGGTATTGCAATCCGTACATTGTTAATCAATAGTAAAAACTATTCATGCAAAAGAGCATGTACACAGATACAGTCTTACTTGTAAAGATGTCATGGTGGTGGCTTGTAACGCTTGTTGTAGAGCCTGACTAAACAGATCATTACTGACAGGAGTTCCTGCTGGCATGGGAGTGACACCACTGGCAGGGTCAGTCTAAATAACACATACATGTGGTCAAATGGTGAAATACTTTAAAAAGGCCTTAGATGTTGTTTATTGAGACCTGGCTTGTTGTGGTCGGGGTAACTGCGCTGCTGTCTGGAGTACTGGCCAGAGCCAGGGCTGTCGCCAGTTCACTCTGTGTGATTGGTCGAGGGCCTGTGGCTCCACTGTGGCTCAGAGACACAGGTCTCATTCCTGACGATGGCCCAGACCGATTTGACGGACTCTACAAAAAATATAAATTAATAATAACACATTATACATGTTTTAATCAAATCGGCGGTTCATGAAAACTGTAAACTCACAGACTGGAACTCCTCCTCATCATCAGACATGCCTTCAAACATAAATCCTCCTGTAGATTAAAAAAACGTTGCTTATTAAGATCAGGGATAGTGGAGAAGTAAATATTGACTGAGTAGTGTGAAATAAAACATTACCTGGCATGTCACTGTAAGAGCTGGAGGAGACGTTGCGTGATGCGCTGCTGCTAGACTGTGCTGGCATGCTTCCTGCCACAGAATGTAGGACCAGGATAATAGCATTCACCAAAGCTGGATGTGAACTAATCAACCTGAACAAAGAGGACATGCTCCAGATTATCCCAAATGTTCACATGACTGTATGATCTTGTATGAGCCTCACTCACTCATCCAGCATGTTGGGGTCTGTGAATTGCACAAAGAGGTCTTTGTCCTGGAGTACACCTGAGTTAAAAAAGGCTTTGGTCAAAATTAGATCAAATGGAGTAAAAAAAAATACAAATCTAAATCACACCTAGAGCAACAGGATCTGAGCGGAGACCTGCTGTAGCCACAAGGATTTGATCCAGGGACTCTTTATTCGCTAACATTTTGTAAACCTGTCAGGACATATTCATTAGAATCCCACAAGTTTGATCAATTAATGATTTATAGCACATATGCCAACGAGTGTTCTGGTTTACCACGCACAGCGACATCTTACCGCATCTCTGTAGGATGAATTGAGAGAATGAAGAGCAGCATGAAACACTCTGAACTCTCTGGCAGCCGTCGCTCTATTGACAGGTTCTAAAATATACAACAATAGAAAATTAAAATATTTTTATGAGGCATTCAAACAATTCAATTTCCTTTTTAATAACCTGGTGCGCTCTCTGGCTCTGGCCAACTCTTTTTCAGGATGTGTATGGTGGAGCCATTCTGAATACCATACGACTCTAAAGTAAGATCGTCCTTCAGTTTCCTGCCACAGTGGACCAGCTCTGGTAGAAAACATAACAAGCATTGGGTTACAAAATCAAAGTGAATCACATCTCAAAGGATTCAATAACAAACACATTACGCACTAATAATAACATGCAGGATTTCAAACAATTCCAACATTGTTTTTAATGATAGTCCTTTAACAGCCAAAGTAGCTCCTTTTTATAAACATTCTCACAAACATTTTCCCACGTTTTTTGCACATATTTTTCTTTTGCTAATTTCTGTTATTTAATTAAGTTGTCCTCCATCTCTTATAAGGTTTCAGGGCTCCACCTTTTGCCAACAATTTAACTAACATCTGAAGAGTTAAGTAAGGGTTAAACACGTTATGTTGAAATCATACAACCACACGGCTGAGTCGTTTGATCCGCTAATATCATGGTCAAAACTTGCACCCACTCATAACTTGTGAAAATGTATATATAGTGTATGAAGTCCACTACACTCTTAAAGATCTTGTTTGAGGAAAGGGACATCTGTTGCTATGACCAAAATGAGAAAAAGATATTTCCTACATTGAACTCATTTATTTTACAAAACAATAAAGATTTAGTATGTTTAGCACCTTAATTCAACAAGCTAATGTATAGCATTATACATTAGCTTGTTGACCAAGCTCTGGTCTGTCCTAGGAGGAGCTCTGTTAGGTCCTCCTCTGACATATGGAGGCATCGGAGGTCCTGCATGTACACCTGTTTTTAGTTTCATTGTATTTATTGTATACGTCCATCCATCCATCCATCCATTTTCTACCCTTTAATCCATTTCTGGGTCAGGGGGGTGGCAGTCAGAGATGCCACCCAAGTCTCATAGCACCAGCCCCTCACTGACCCTCTGCAGGTGGTGAGTCCACAGGAGGACGGCTGCTCTCTGACTGTGAGTATAGCCTTGATCTTTCAGTGGGGGCTTTGGGCAAAGTGGGGTTAAGTGTCTTGCCCAAGGACACAACGACAGCAGTCATCAGTGGGAGTCGGTGGAGAAGGTGCAGAGGTGGGAATTGAACCCACGACCTTCTGGGCTTAAGGCCAATGCTCTACCAACTGAGCTACTGTCGCCCCCTTATTGTATACGTATGTTTTTGTTTTGTTTTGAATCTATGAACCAGTTTTCTCTGTGTTCTTAATAAATAATGAATTGAATATAATGGACCTTTAAAAGTAACTTTAGATTGCAAATGGAAGCTAACCGTTTGTGTAATTTACCATAAGGTTTAAACAGTATTAATCAACAGTAGTTTGATACTGGTATAATTGTTATTCTTAACAATATACAGTAGCTTGAACAAACCTATTAGTTCTGGATCTGGGATTGAGTCCGGAAGTTGAGCGGAGACCAGCTGTTTGAGAGTAGCTACTCTGTATCCTCCCGGTGGGACATCACCAGGCATCATCTCCGGGAAGAGGAATTTGGATTTTGGCTGGTCGACAAGCTTTAGAGACAGATGCCAATCCGAGGACGCCATAAATGCCTTCATACATAAACCAAACACAGGCTTATTGTACATTGATACTTCAGATAATTCACCCCCAGACAGTCCCAGTTATGAGCCCAGCTTCTCATGTTCCAGCAAATCATCAAACACTTCATTTGTCCCTATATCAGATGCACAAGATATAAACAGAACATCTGGCACAGTTGTACTAAACTTTCATGTGTCAATAAAATAATGACATAAAAATAAAACATAAACAACTAGATAAAGTTCTCACTCCTGAGCAACTGTTGTGGAGTTCAGGATATAAATAAATAAATATGATACAGCGCTAAAAGTATGTAAAAGATTCATAGGGACTATCACGTAACATTATGTGAAGATAAATATAGATTTCTAAATCATGATAACACAAGCGCATGCACTGAAAGACCCTCTTCAAGATTAAGAGATCCTTTATTCGTCCCACAGTGAGGAAATTTCAGTGTTGCATCACAAGTTACAGACCCGTAGGAATGAAGAGCACACAGTACAAGAGAAATGAACAATAACTATACTAATCAATATAAAATAAAATATCTAACTCTAGCATCAAAGAAACAAGTATAACATCTCTATCTTTAACTTAATAAAAAAGTATAAAATATCTACATTTGGCAAAATAAGAAGCAGGTATAAAGTAATGTGTATTCTAGTGCAAGCAATATGTAGTTTTATGTTAGCATCTGTACATGATCGCAGCAGTATGTTTACATCTGTACATGTTAGCAGCAGTATGTTTACATCTGTAGAGGTAGCAGCAGTATGTTTACATCTGTACATGTTAGCAGCAGTATGTTTACATCTGTACATGTTAGCAGCAGTATGTTTACATCTGTACATGTTAGCAGCAGTATGTTTACATCTGTACATGTTAGCAGCAGTATGTTTACATCTGTAGAGGTAGCAGCAGTATGTTTACATCTGTAGAGGTAGCAGCAGTATGTTTACATCTGTACATGTTAGCAGCAGTATGTTTACATCTGTAGAGGTAGCAGCAGTATGTTTACATCTGTACATGTTAGCAGCAGTATGTTTACATCTGTACATGTTAGCAGCAGTATGTTTACATCTGTACATGTTAGCAGCAGTATGTTTACATCTGTAGAGGTAGCAGCAGTATGTTTACATCTGTACATGTTAGCAGCAGTATGTTTACATCTGTACATGTTAGCAGCAGTATGTTTACATCTGTACATGTTAGCAGCAGTATGTTTACATCTGTAGAGGTAGCAGCAGTATGTTTACATCTGTACATGTTAGCAGCAGTATGTTTACATCTGTAGAGGTAGCAGCAGTATGTTTACATCTGTACATGTTAGCAGCAGTATGTTTACATCTGTACATGTTAGCAGCAGTATGTTTACATCTGTAGAGGTAGCAGCAGTATGTTTACATCTGTAGAGGTAGCAGCAGTATGTTTACATCTGTACATGTTAGCAGCAGTATGTTTACATCTGTACATGTTAGCAGCAGTATGTTTACATCTGTACATGTTAGCAGCAGTATGTTTACATCTGTAGAGGTAGCAGCAGTATGTTTACATCTGTAGAGGTAGCAGCATGAGGCTCCAGGACACAGTAAAGTGACACATATGGTTCTAAAGTGCACATTTTGACATTAGTTCAATATTACACTGACGCATGACCTGATGTGAGATCAGGTTGGTAATGTGTGTTAGTCCTCATTGTTTGTTTCAAATCATCAGTCTCACAAATTAACTGTGAAAATGTATGACAATAGGACCAATGTAGAATATCGATAGTATTAACCAGTGTCACTCCTGATCTTACTACCCTGAATCTAGTGTGCTCCAGTTTAAATGCTGGAAATTTGGTGCAAGCACATGTATGTAGAGTGTATTAGCATGTTAATAACGCATTTATGAGCATGATATAACGACAGGGATTAGAGTTTGGATCAAAATAACGTGACAAATATTCGCACACTCACCATTGTGTTGACGTTCCACCCACTTCCTGGTTATGGTCACGTGGTTCATGGTGCGTTTACGTACAATAAACAACACATTTTAAAAGACTCTGCATACAAGAAATACATTTTTAAAAGTAGTAATAATAAACTATACATTATTTGAAAATAACAACACGGTGGATGAGTGAGTTGGTTAATTTCCTCGTGTCTTTTTTTCCCCAACCTCAAATATGTGCTAAAATGACTGGGAAGACGGGAGGCTCTGATTAACTCCAGCTAAAATGATCAACAGTTCCCCATATTATTCAACATAACAAGATCTAAATATGTCAGTATATCTCTGGTATGTAATTAAGAGTCTATATTTAACTCGTAGACCAAAGCCTAGGACTTCGAAGAGTTAAAAAATGGGGTCGGGCGAGCGGGGAGTCTTGCCCCCTTGTATGACATCACCGCTGGACAAAGCAGAAGAGTGGTTTGAGAAAGGATCCCAACCCAAATCAATGGAACATACTCCTATGCTGTGAAAAAGCCAATTTATTGCTTTATATTATCACAGAGAGCCGACTTCTCCCAGAACTGGTTTAGTCCTGGGATGACTTGTGCTTAAACCAGCGCGCTGTGTTGGACGGAGTCCCCGCTGGATGATTGGTTATTTCTAACTTTAGCAGACCCGATGGTAAGCTGAAATATACTGTTAGATGAGAGTTACGCTGTTATTTGCATGTGACTTTTTTTACTTTCAATTGAGAAGCAACAGTTGTGACGCGCTCAGCATTTTCTTTTAAAAGCTGTATTAAAAAAAAAGATGTATTGATGTATCTTAGAGGCGTGTTTTAGACTACGCCCTCCTCTGGAGAAGTGAACATCTGCTCACACAAAAGTTGAAGATGACATGTCAGCATTATGACCACAGAGAAAATGATCCAGTTATTACGTTTTCCTCTATGAGTTTACAGTATATTGTTACAATGTACGTCCAAAGATGAGTGGATGATGTGTTATTACTATTTAATTCCCATTCTGTAACAAATGTACCCCATTGACTCGTCATTTGAACGCATTTCACACATCCGAATCAACATTATTTTAATTTTTTTATTAAACCAGCAGTCTTGGTCTGTATGAAATGTAATTTTATGTTTGTTGATGTTGATTGTTTATTTTTGGTCAAGTCAGCATGTGGAGATCTTCAGTGGCTTCAATCCACAAAATGTTGACCTAAAGCAAGTTGGAAAAGGTTGAGTTTATGTACGCCTCTACATGGGGTAGGGCCTAGACTCATTAAACCCTTTGATGGTTTCCTTCTGCCTATAATGTTCACCAACTGCAAGCACAGACTTCATCTGCCCTTATTGGTATTGTTAGACGAAGTTGATGCTGTTTCAGGTAACACATATCTTTAGCTTTACTCTACAGCCGTATGTAGTTTTGTGCTGTACTGTAGTTATGCACTAAAAGGATCTTCCCCACTATGTCGAGTTGCTATTTTATTTTAGGAAGATTGTTTCAACAGCGTCCTCTCTGCTGCTGCAGCCGCTGCTATAATTGAACACCATTCTAAACATGTTTTCAAGATAATCAAAACATGGCCACGGAATATAGAATGATCTTTGTATTCGGCAATTTCTAAAATAGATTGGATACCAGAAGAAATACATCCAAACTCACACAAGTTCAATCATTGGGATGGCAGGGCTAGTATAAAAGGAATGAGTAATAGCCTTAAAAAGGTGATAAAAATGGGATTTCAGATGCTTTATTCTTCAAAATTGTCAACACATACAGATGGGATGCATTTTAATACTTTACCAGCCAATCTAAATTCAAGTTTCTTTTCCTGTAAAATTTCCTGTCTGCTTTGGAAGTTCCTTTTTGTCATCGCCTACCCACTCACGCTGAACCAGACAAAGCCATTTGGGAAAGGTTCAGTCTTTTGTCTCTTGAGAGGCAAGAGACACACTTTTCATGATGTAATTTATCCATATTTGATAAAGCATTACTGCAAGGTTTGGCAGAGATGAACTATCACTTACACGTTGTCTTATTCCAGTTCAGAGTGTGAAGTGTACTTGATCCCAGAAGACCATGCTGTCCCTGCTGCTGGCCGGCATGATGGCTCTCCACACTCTGGGTTCGTATGTCTTTTGTCTCAACTTCATTGTTGTCCATGTTTCCACCATGAAAACACATCTGCGTGCGTGTCCTACAGGGGTAGTATTCAAACTTAACTTAAAATGACTCCTCAAAAGAATAAATACCAGTCCACCACACCAATCTTATTTTATTTTCTATATGTTGTAAAGCAGAATAGCTTTGACCATTGGCACACAGGGATGACAAGGGATAGTGCACAAACCATACTGCATGGACATTTGTGAGAAGTGCACTTTTTCAGCTGTGACTCAGAACGCGTGGTTGGAAAGTCATCTTCACTCAGCTGTTTACCGTATCAGGCTGTTACTCATTCTCCCTGGAGTTTCACTTCTGTGCAGTGTCTCTGTTTTATTAAACATTATACTTAAATAAAATAATGTAAGGTTTTCAGCTGTATAAAACATAATGTGTCCAACTCTCTATTTGTTTCGCCTCAACAGGAGAAGTAATTTTTGAAGTATTGTTTTCAGAAGCCCTAGCTCACAAAAGTTTTTACCAAAAAACTATCATCTGCTTTCTGGTTGAGCTCAACAAGCTCCTGTCGGCCATTGGTGGCACATTTCAATCAGGCGGTTCTGCGCAGAGCTTCATTAGGGGCTGTGTCCTGCTCTGATGGGCCTAAGGCCTGCTCATTACTGAGAGGATAGGCCGCCTGTCTGTCTGAAGGGACAGAGGAGTGCCATGCACTGATGGAGCTTTTTAACTCTAATGGGCTACTAGACCGACCCACACTTTAGATCCTGTTAAATCAAGAGCAGAGAATTCACATGGACATGTTGTTATAATGTCTTTGATAATAATTGATATTTGTCTAGATGCATTTTCAACTCAAGATGTTACATTTATCTGTTCAACAAGTTTAAAGTTACCAGAATAATGACATTCTGGTAACGTTAGACAACTGTAACAGTGCAATTATGACAAGCCTTATACATGTTTATACCCAGTAATAATAGACAGGTCATCAATTGTATAATCACATGATAGTAAGTGAACAGGAGCATGATCTAGAACAGCCTTTGTCCTGCACTCATCAGAGCGACAGCCTGTGGTGCAGCTAACTGGAGGCTGTTCAGATAATTGCTTGTATAGTTGTCATACTATGCGCTCTGTTAGCATCATCATGTGCAGCAACCATGCCAAACAATAAGAATCCATCCAAATGCTGAAAGCCAACCTGAATTCACTGGCTCACTGATGGGAGCTGTAAGGTAATTTAAATTTATTAACATAATTGGATAGATTGCATCTCCTCCTCCAGCATAAGCAGCAGACAGCAGCCTCACATTATGGCTGGGCCCCAGAGCGTGAAAATGGCCTGCATCTCTGCTGTACTCTTTAAAGGTCTGCTAACTATGAATGCCCTCATCTTGTCCTCCCTCTTGTCTCCACAGCAATTGATTCTGCAGAGAGGGGACACTTTAGCTGGTCTTAGAAATTCAATTTAGGGTTATTACCCCGTATCTGTGATGTTCTTGCTAATTTGATTGTGTCCAGTGAAGTATCCCCTTTAAAAACAATGGAGGACAAGCTCAACTGAGATTGGTTTCGACGCAATGCATACCTAATGGCGAGGTTCTATTGAATGTTGGGTAGTTTCTCACATTTCATTGAAGCAAACTGTGTTCCAACTCAACAAGCAGCTCGCAGCTCTCATGATTATTTCAGCAAGTTCCTAAAATGCAGTCCGTTGGGATCCTTAAAAATTGATAAGGCTAATATGCGGAGAATGCAGTGCTGGAACCTCCGAGCCATATGCTAGAGTGCTGTGCGTCGAGTGGCTTGTGATAAATGACCAGAACAGATGCTGAGGATGCACAGAGGAAAGCTATGCCTGTCTGGGGTGTAGCTCCAGCGATGTGATACTGGGTAACTCTGTATTCAAATAAGGCAGGTAGCGGGGGACTGACTCTTGCTTAACCTTGCATAATATTGTGCGTGTGAATCAGCAAAAGCTTTAGTGCCATTTCATCAGACAACATTTGAGAAAAAAAGTCAGCATTTACAAAAGCCATTAACTTGAAAAATGAACACCTCGCTTTTATCACGTCTGACCTCTTGGTCTTTCCACTTATTAATCCGAGAAGTGGTTCAGAATGGTGAGTGGAAAACTTTTAGAGAGAATGACAATAACTAATGGGGGGGAAAGAATCAGTCCAGACACTCAATCGTGTTTTTGTGGAAAAATATAGCTTGGGGAGGCAGCGTTCCAGTTTTGTGCAGCTAATATCTGAAACAGTCTTCCTGAAAATGTGAGACAGGCTTCTTCTCTGACAATGTATAAATCCAGGATAAAGGCGATTTTGGTGTTTTATGTTTATGATTTGTGCCTGGTGTGACGTGGACTGTGAAGCGCTTTGTGTTGCCCTGCCCTTTTCCTACAAAAGGCACTCTACAAATAAAGATTGACTGATAAACGTTTTTGTTCTGATCTCCAAAACATCTAAAACGATGATGTGCTTTAGCTTTCCACGTATAGTACATGTATAGTAAATGTTTGTTGTTGAGAGGCTATGTCTTTAGATATTATTATTTACATTATGTTGTGTTGTGTTACAAGTATGGGGTAAGGTTACTGCCGGAAAAAAAATTTTCTAGATAGGGACAAGAAACATCTTTTTTTTAACACATTTTATGGAATTAATATTTCTTACACATTCATTTACGACCAAAATGATAAGATATGAACGGCTTATTAACCGAGCGCGAGGTCTGTTTGGGGAAATATCAGACCGCGGCCTTAATGTACAGACCGAGTTCTGGCGAGGTCTGTGCAAAAAGGCCAAGGTCTGATATTTCTCTGCACAGACCGAGCAAGCGAAGTTAATAAATGTTTTATTATATGACTCTCGTCTGTGTCTTTACCAATGCTTTTGAGATATTTGTGAAGTATGTTCATGTCCGACTTGGTTTTGTGTGATACGCGCTGTGGACCGATTGTCATGGTAACGGTCCGTGGAAAGATATCAAATGTGATACGCGCTGTTCGGACCAATTGTCATGGTAACGGTCCAAGATGGGATAATATCCGACCGGTAATCAGCCAATCAGAGCGCGTGTACGGTCCAAGTCATATAATAAAGTTATATACCTGATTTTGAGCCACGTCGTTGTGTTGTTGCCCTCTGCCATGATCAACTCTGTGCAGGCTCGATTGTTAATGTCTGTGAGCAGTGACGTAAGCAAGAAATCACACATATAGTTTTATAGTTTTTTATTCTTAATGACAAAATTCCATGTCTTTTGAGTTTGTATTATCTTAATCATGAATTCATAAAATATTTTGATGCACAAATACCGATAAATGTGCACTTATTTTTTTAGACATGCACATCTTTATTGACAGTAACCTTTCCCCATATACAAGCATCATGCAATAAAATTTACACAAACAAAACACTCCACATTTTCTGAGATACTACTTTGGCTTTATATACGTCATTACATTGTTATTATGATTTTTTTGTAGTCTGAATAATCAGTTTTGTGATGAACTGATTGAGCTTGACATTACTACTTGAACCATAAGAATGATGAATTTGATCTCGTCTGATAATAACAATTTCCAATACACGAGTTGGAGTTTGCCCTTTCCTGTCAACCTGTCCTCACCTTCCTCTATCTGCCCGGCCAGAGCCCATTACGAGGTTATTGACGGATTGTGAGATGACACCCAAACATAAAAAGCATAGAAGAAGCGTGGAGATAGGATAGTTTTTGAAGCTAAGACATTGCACATTTATGACCGAAAAAAGTAAGTCCTTCTTGTCTCTCCTCTCTCCCATCACCTGTACTTCTCAAACAAAAATCTTCATACTCTGCTGAAGGATTGTTTTTCCTTAAAATTCCTAAAGTCATTTTCTGGGGACTGAGAATTTGAATGACTTCATCGTCTGTATTGAATTGACGCCTCAACATATTTCCTGTGACAAAATAACAGCCATTATCCAGGGTCTGTAATAATAGCAGATTCTCAGACAATGATATAATGTTATCTGCCCCATGAATTCCCACCTTTTACCCCTCTACAGATATTTTTTGCATGTCTGGAATAGCTATAATGGAAATTCTTGCCAATCCTTGGAGTTCAAAAACGAAATCTTTGATGTCTTCTTATATGCAGTTTCTTTCATGACCATAGGAGGGCAGTGTTGTTAAAGCATATTCTTACCCGGTGTGGCCTTCCCCTGCTCAGTCCTGTCATTGCCCATGTTGGTTTTGTACCTGTTTACTCTGTTGTGTCAATATTGCCCCTGCAGTTTGTCCTCCGCTGTTGCTTGATTTTTCTTATGTACACTTTTTTTTAAATACAGCTTCCATTTCATTCATTTTTAATTCATCCACGTTTGCAGCGGAATGTGAGATCCTGCTGCGAGATCTCGGAGGCTTCTTGCAGTGTATGAAAATTCACATATAAATGGATTTATTGATCCCGTACCAGCTGAGTTCTAATTACGACATTCTGAGGGACTGCATTCCGGTTCAATAATATCGAAGTGCGGCGCCTTGCAATGAAGTTGTAACCTGGAGATAATATTGAATGGTCTGTGTTTTCACATGAGAGTGGGCTTAGATAAGGTTTTGAAGAAAAGCTTTAACATGCTATCTTTCTATTGGAAACTCCCAAAACTTTAAATCAGCTTTTCAGATTCAGATTCAGATTCATTTATATGCCATTTGCAGTAAAACCACATTGGAAAAACTGTGCAAGACTACCCCAGTGTGCACCAGACGACACACACCAGAGCTCTTGCTCTGGTGTGTGTCGTTACCGTTTTTTTATCTGCAAAGAGTTAAATAATATAATAATATAATAATAAATGTTATGTATGGATAATATAATATGTTTTCTATAAATTGGTTTGATATTTTATTTTGTTTCACTGTTAAGGTCAAGGTAGACTTCATTTATCCTATCATAGTTTTTTTATGCATGTATTTTTTAGCCTCTATCACAGCTTGAAACGACAGCGGTAA